GCATTTAACCATCAGTTCAGCCTCTTCACCAGTCAAAACACACGGGCAAACAAAAAAAAAAAAGAAGCTTTCGGCCAAGTAGAGGAACACACACGAACACAGCAACGCACAGAGAGAGAGAGAGAGAGAGAGAGAGTATACTCAATCTAGATGCAAAGAAGAACTAGATGCAGAGAGAGGAATAGAGACCACAACATGCACACACATACACTTTCGGCCTACAGAAGAAAAGAAATAGAACCAGAGACATATGCATACATGCAACAGACGGAGCAGAGTAGTAGACGCATAATAGAAGACCAGAGGTACACGCCAAAAATAAAATAAAGCAGAGACGTAGCATGCAACATAGATGAAAAATAGAGAAAGGAGAGAGTAAAGCCAGATGTGCACGAAAGAGAAAAAGATGGTGGCTTCAATAATAAAGAAAGCTGACTAAAAGAAAAAGAGGAGGACCTGATTTTTGCTTTTAGAGGTTGGAGCTAAGAGAGTGAGAGGAGAGTGATCGAGCACTCTGATGTGAAGGTGTTCAAATATGTATCAGCATTCAAAAAACACAGGCACAGGAACGAAGGGATTGACAGCACATTGATAGCAGAGAAGAAAATGCAGAAAAACAGCAGCATGCATGCGCATGTAGGTTTTTAGACTAAATGAGATCATCATCATGAGATTAGCTATGATCTTATACCCCTTAGTGATCAGAGAATGTAGTTCAATTAAATTTCTAGCTTTTTGATATTTGAAGATTTATCATTCTGCTTGCTTATTAATCATGAAAACTTGTCAATTTTATGTTGATCGTTTTGGGTATAGTTTGATCATAATATTAATAAACGTGATCTTTGATTTATTTGTTGTGTGAGATTTTAAAAAATTCATATAAGCATTTAAAATGATCATCTATCATGTAAATTAATATGGTTTCAAGTAGGTAGATCCAACTTGTATATATTAATATGGGTTTCAATGATCCACCATAAAAATTAACTTTCCTTTTTAACTTAAATCAATAAAATATTTAAATCTCGTGTGAGATTTTAAAGAATCTTTATAGAAATTTAAATTAATTACAGCATCATGTGGGATAATAAATTCTTACAAATAATGTGATTATCAATTTGTATATAGTAAATAAATAAATTTTGGTAAATAAAATAATAAAATTTTTTTAATAAATTAATTAATTAAATTAATATATTTACATGATAACCTTAAAATCTTTTGGTCATATGAAATTTTTAAATATCTATAAACTTCTAAGATAATCATTTTATCATGACTTAATAAAACTCTGCTAGTACAACGATTACGAGTTTTATCATACTTTTTGAGTGATAAAAGTCCCCGTTGGCACATCGAATAAATCTTTAATATATAAAAAAATATATTAAAATAAAATATTTTGTAAATAATCTAAGATTTCATATTGTAAGGAAAATATAGAATTTTAAAAGGCATTAAGGTAATTTGAATGTCTATAAGTGACAATAAGTCTCTGTAAGCATATTAGAAACTTTCTTTTTTTATATAAAAAATAATATTTTCTATATTGACAAAGTGAATCTTCAAAATAAGGAAAAATATAACAACGAAAACATTTTCAAATATATAAAATGGGAGTAAGAAAGTAAAGCTAAATTATCTTTGTAAATTAAAACACACCAACCCACATTTTAGAAAATTGTTTTGTTTGCAATTGGTAAGTTATTTTCATTTAACTTTCTCTTTTATGAAAATTATAAATAAAGAAAGCCATTGACACTAGTCTTTACCCAAACTACGTGGACTTTGATTCTCATCACAGGGTATGTAAGCCTCAAAATCTGATTCTAAGTCAAGTCTTCCCTTATAAACAAATAAATATTTCTCACTTAATTATTATCATTTTTTTATCAAACACGTGAATACGAAAGGGATAATTAAAAGAACTTTAAATCTATATTAATTTAGCACAATGAACTTTAGGTAATCGTTCTCGTGAATGGGTGTTGTAGGATGCCTAACACCTTTCCTATACTCAATTGACTCCTGAACCTATTTTCTAATTTCATAGACCATCCTTATCTCCTTTAAATAGTTTCGCAAGATTTTCCGCAAAATTTTGTGGCAACTCCCATTTCTTTAGTCTTTTCTCCACAAGTTGGAATCTTTGCTCACGCGCCATCCACGTCGCATTTTCGGGTGCGACACGTAACTAGGGCTTAAAAAACAACCCAAAATAATAGTTAGTCCTCCCTATCTACATAGCACACTAATCTCACTTATCCTTAATTAATCTGATTACCAGGAGGTTAAATTTTAGGATGTTACAAAATGGATCAACATTAGATTGGGAGAGAAATGGTGGATGGCACATTCTATGCCATGAGCCACGGCATATGGCTCATAATCAGAATTAATAGCTTGTGATTCAACATTTAGGCAAAGAGGAAAAGTTGGGAAAATTGAGGAGTACGTAAGGAGAAGAGTAGGGGTCTATTAGGGTTTAGTAAGTCAAGATACCAAAAGCTGATTCAGACTATGATCCATTTTTGTAAGCCTTTCCTCTCTCTTCTCCATGTCTACAACATAAATTTCAAGTGCTAGAGAGAGAAATAGATTATTTGTTTTTGGAAGAGCTAGGAATCCATGCTTTATGTGTAGCATATGGTTCTAATAGCTTGGTCTATGTTCTTTGGACTAAGGCCAAGTTGTTTTGGAGAGAAGAGGTTAGGTCAAGCCCTAGATGAATTTTCAAGTTTGAGGGCTTAACATGTTGAGATATGAAATGACATGTTGTGATTGAGTTAGAAGGGTACTTGAAGGGATGGTGTGAGATATATAGTTGTGATCTTGGTTAACTCCTTTATTGAAAATATGAGTAAAGAGGGATTTAGGGTGATTTATGTAGTTAAAAGTACTTATGTTAGTGGAAAATTAATATATAGTATTTATTGTTGTAGATTGAAGTGTAAGACCTCATTTTGACTCAAGAGGTGATCACAATGATTTCAACCCATAGGTAACCCTTTTATGATAAAAAGGTTGAGATTACTAGATAGTCTACAATGTTTATTAACTAGTTTAAGCGTGCACAAGTAGTTTGCATGTGCATATTATATTTATAGGAACATGTTTTATGAAATTATAAATATAATTGAGGTAAGACATAGTTGTGTATTAGTAGATATTTGCAAATAGTATGTGCATATGTGTGTGACAAGTACATGACATAAAGTGACAATAAATATCTTTATATGCATGTGGTAATTTGTATGCAAGACATAGTGGTGAATGAATTATGCATGTATAGTGATTTACATTATGAGGGGGAGATTAATTGTAGAGAAAAGTCATGAAATAGTAGTGAAAAATCCATGGGTAATCTAAGCATGTCACATTTGAAAAAGTGATGTGGATGGCATGTGAGAGTAGAGGTTCTGACCTTCAAAGCGAGAACTTGTTGAATAGGAGTCGCTACTAAAATTTTAAGGAAAATCTTGAGAAACCATTTAAAGGAGTTAAAGATAGTCTATGAAATAAAACAAAAAAAAGTTTGAGAATCGATTGAGTATGAGGAAGGTTTTAGGTATAACATTCAAAAACTTTAAACCTAAAATAAATTGCTAATTAAGGGGTGAATTAGTTAAAAAATAATTAATTAATTTAATTATGTTTTTGGATTATTAATTGACTTCTTGGGTCATATTTGGCTCTAAATTGAGCTAGCATGGAAGTTGAATCGAATCAGGTGGCGTTAGGGGGGAGCATAAATGACTTTTTGCTCGCTGCATCATGAGCCGTGGCTTGTGTGTCGTGTGTTGTGGTGCACGGCACACCATAAACAACATAAAAAAACATTTAAAATGTAAAGCATTTTAAATCAAATTTCACTCCTAATAAAATAGTTACTTGTCTTTAAATCAATTCTATGTTTTAATATTTATCCCTATTTAATATGGTATTTTACCTTAAAAAAATGTAAAGTAATCTATTCAATATGAGCACTTTTTTTTTAAAAAAAGTAATGATTACATTTTAAAAGACTAAAAATACTTTATATTTTTTAACATTTAATCCTTCAAAAAATATCTTAAATTTTTTAACAGAGGGAATAGCATACAAGTTAAAGTAAGAACTTTAAATTTTCCTAGTTTAAGGGATTGCAGACAAATAGAATAACATATTAGGATGATAAAATTTTTAGTTAAGTCTTAATTATTAATTTAATCTCTCAAGTTAAATTTTTATTTATTTCATCCTTTATATTTTTTAAAATTATTATGTTAATCCTTTAAATTTTAAAATATAAATTAATTTAACATGTAAAGCATATTAAAATTTTAAAGTGTTTTATTCTTTTGTTTTTCAAAATTTTTGAACTTGTTTTTTTTTTCTACCTAAATAATTTCATTTATTTCTATTACTCTATGTGACTATTATCAATATTTCATTATCCATGTCAACAAAATTTTTAGCAATATTACCTCCTTTAAATGATAAAAAAAATTGATAATTGAAAAAAACAACTTAAAAGACTAAATTAATAAAAATTAAACCTAAAACAAAAGGAACCAAATCAATAATTACATCAAATTTAAAAGATTAAAAGTTTCATTATCCCTAATATATTTATACTTAGGTTTACAAATAAATAAGTGAATACTTATTCACTTATAAAATAGTTCTTCTAATGCCAAATTATTCTTCTTTTTTTTTAACTCAAGAAAAGTTGTTTTTTAACTCAAGAAAAGTTGGCATTAAAATATTTAATATGATCCCTCAATTTATTCCACATCCGGGGATGCCAGACAAGTTATAATGAAATTTCGATTCCCCAATACATTTTTAAAGTAGTAATAATAATAATAATAACTAACAATACCATGCTTTCTTTCCTCATGACTCTACTACACTTGCACTCACAAAACAACTAAGCAAGACCTTCAAAAGAAAAATTAAAGAACATAACACCATATAGTTATCAAACTTTGATAATAAAATTATACTCAACAAACTAATATTCATACCATTCATCCTTGCAACTGCAGAAACTTGATCTACATACAAAGATTAAAACTTTGCAAATGATCTGTAAGCATCATGGGTTACACCTGACCAATAGTTTCTTCCTCAAGCAATGGTGTACCTACAAAACTAATAAACACTCACAACCACGCGCAACTAAATAGGCATTTGAATGCGTTCTCAACAAACCATCAACATCAAGGGCCTGATCTTAAAAACAAATAGAGCCTCATGAATAGTTGTGCATGCTTGTAATTGTAAAAGTTGGGTAAGTGTTGATCTTCTCAAATTACTCATGAGAGACATTCCTCGCATCATCACAATATATGACCAGGGAAATGGCCAACTCAATTCTCAACATGTAAATGTAACTACCAATCAATATCTGTAGCACTGTGATTACTAAGATGAATCCGAATCCGCTGAAGTAGAGAAAGATAGAAAGAAAGTAGTGGGTTCCACTTCTGCAAGTCCACAAATGCAGAGGCAGGACCCACTATTCTCTTCTAAATTATGATCTCTAGTGGAGTACTTCAAATTACTACGACAACTGATCTATGTGAGCAGATCCCCTCCAGTGACACTACAGAGGAAAATGAAGCAAGAAAAAGAGGTAGGAACTAGGAACAGGACCCACTGACCGATCAGCCAGTCTTGCTCCTTTATTTCTCTTTTCACTTTTACCCCCCACTCCCATCACTGGAAGAGATTTGAGTCTCATAATCTCTATGTATCACCTCTCATGATGAACATGATCCCCAGGGTGTGCTGGAAAGTCATAGTCGACATTCAGTGTCAATTCTTGGGCACTATACAAACCCTAAGCTTGAAGAACCTGACAGTGCACTATGTGACTTTTGAGTCGGTTTCGGCCTGCGAGACTAGACAAGAGATTTGTTACAAAAGACTTGAACTGTCCCTTTCCTGCAATAGTTTCCCACAGGTGTTCAGCTGATGATCCTCCCAAATCTTCAAATTTGGAAACAACAACCAGAGAAATGCTCATATTATTCCTGATGATACAAAGTTTGCCATTGAGGGGAACAAGAGCAGCTGCCTCCATAGCCCGAGACTTCCCCAAATGCATTTTACTGTCAATATGCTTGCTCCATGAATCAGTCAACTCATCATAAACCCTAAGTTTGCAGCCATCCTTGCAGTCTAAAGCATAGAGCTGTCCATTAAGGGCAGTGCTTGGGTTCCTCCATCCAGTGATCATTCCATTGAAAACAGGGCACCAGCTATCGGTCTCTGGTTGGTAGACTTCACTCAGAACCTGCCGATGAGAACCGAGTCCCTTCAGGTACCATTTCCCCTCATAGACAACTCCTATGAAAGGCACCATTGCAGTGCTCATATCTGAAATAAAAGACCATCGATTCTTGTTGGGGTCATAAACTTCAGCTGATCGCAATGATCGGTGTACCCCCTCATTCTCCCCACCTGCCACATACAAACAATTATTTATGACACATGAGCCAAAAAAGTGTCGCCTGCGAAGCATATCTGGGGCACGGTGCCATTTATTAGTCCTAGCACTATAAAAGATGACGCGCCTCATGGATCCCTTTTGTGGATCCTTGCCACCAAACAGGTATAAGTGACAGCCACTGAGAACAGCACAACCAAAACCAAGAGCTTCAGAATATTCCTTAGGAATGGGAGGCAGGGGTTGCCATAATTTGTACACAGGATCAAAAGCATGCCATGATATTTTCCCATCTCGATCTCTCTTAATGACATATATCCATTCTTCCGCAATTCCAAGACTCTTTCGGAGTGAGTAAAAGAAGTTACCAGCCAAGAGACGATACCACCTTCGGCAGACCAGTCGGAGTTTACAGTGTTCAATCCTAGGAACCCGAATTAGGCAAGCAATGGCAAGATCATCGGGGAGTCCAGGAAGTAGTGGGGATTGATTGCGGCTTCTGTCACCACGTGATGGCTTGCTTCTAGTTGGATGGATGGATGGCTTAATGTCAGGTCGAAGACACAGCTTTGCTCCAGGGACATACTTCTTTGCTCCAGCAACAGTTTTTAAGCCTGTATCTACCCTGCATAAACATGCTGTTGTATCAACCTGCACAATCAAATTTGTAAGAAATTTCTTTCAGCTACTTTGTCATTGAAAAAAATGAAAACAGCTTAAACATAATGGAATATATGTAAACATGAGATATCATCCACATTTCGCATCAAATACATACAATTCTGAGATGAAGCAGATAGAGCACTTTAAATACTTATAACCAGATGATCTATAAGCGGAAGCAATATTGTAGATTCTGATGAATGTAAACATGCATATGCTCATATCAGAAATTAGCTAGATAAAAATTATGAGGAAATTTGACCAACATGTGTTAGTTACAATCAGGTATTTGAATATGTAATGGTATCTGTGTCAAGAAAATCAGCAAATGTAAATAGAACACTGTCACAGTATACACAGATCTAAAGCCAAAAGGGCTAGGCCATGTTAGTAGGTAAATCCTGTTTAGTCCCTTCTATTTTTCACTTTGTGTCCAATAACCCCAATTATAGGATGAAGATAATCACAGAATCTTTAAATGGCATTTGGCATGTGGCTATCAATATTCTTCCGGACCTAGGAAATCTCAGTGTGTGTGTGTGCAAAAGGCTTGAACGTCTGTGCAAGTACGCACATAGAAACGCTTATGTTATTACAACACAATTAAAAAAAAAAAAAATCTCATAGCTTAGGTGTTCAAACATCTTATGATAATATTCCTGGTGTTTGTGAAATTAAGAATCCCATGTACCAGACACTACCTGAAAGTGAGAAGCCATAATAGATCTTACGTAACACAGATTAAGCAGAGAGATTATGCAAAAGATTATTTATCCCATTCTAAAAACCCTATTTAGACATGCAAGTTTTTAATATTGTCATGTAGCATTAGCGAACAGATCATAGTAACACCGTTTGTTAGAATTCAAGCAACAAAATAAATTGCAGTCGCTCATCCTTTAGAGGGAGCTCAATAAGATTTTTAAAGACCATATACCAGGTAACAGAAGGAAGTTCAATTAATAATGACATTCAAGAATTTTCAAGCATTGATCCCAGAAGTCTGTCCATCATCCCCACAATCCTTCTTAAAAAGATCTTTAAAACCAATAGACTAGGGCAAGATTTCAACCACAGCAATCCCTGAGCATCAAGAGGGACGAACTCAACCAAACTTGAAAACCAATCAGCCCCAAAGAAACCAAGGTAAAAGGCATCAGAACCACAGAACTGAGAATTGACACTTCAACCAAGGACGGTATTTGATAAATATAGAAAAGAGAAACTGCAAGAAGAGCGATTAAGCAAATTACCAAAGGAGGTTGAATAACTCTGTCCATATTCTGCGCCCCAATGCTTCCCAGACGAAGGTATTAAACTCCCACTTCCAAAATCAAGTATGATACCTCCCAAACACCATGCTCAACACGAATTTCCAGAGAACCAAGTTCCGGACATATCCAAACTTTCTTAGCTCGCTTTTTATTTATAACAAGGGAGGAGGGGAAAAAGTTGAAATTTCAAAAGGGAAAATTTGAATTATGTCCCTGAAAGAAGATTTCCCGATCTCTTGAAATGCGTCAGCAGGACGAGTTATCAGTTAACCTTAGAAGAAGCCGCGTTAAAAGGGTTTAAAGCCCATGACAGCGCAACCCAATTCCAAAACGCAAGAATCCCAGAGAGAGAAATCTCAAGAATCAGTGGCCATGAGGGAGAAATTGAATACCCAGAAAGCTAATCAAAGCGAGGCAGGTCGAAATTGGAGGCGAAATGAAGGAAGCACTGAGGCAATGAGATCCGAAGGGAAGGAAGAAGGGAAACCCCATTTGTGAGAGACCATTAAATTTAAGTGGAGTTTTGGGCCCATGAGCCAACGGCACAACCTACCAAGCACTAGAGCGTGTTGAAAGAAGGGACCCCCGGGGGGAGGGGGGGGGGATGATGACACCTTGGTGGTTGCTGATTGGTTTCACAATTTGCGTTGGAAGATAGCTTTTGTTTGTTTGCATTTTCCCCCTACTGCACACGCCCTTCAAACGTAATATGAAAATTTGGGTCCATTCATCTGATTACATTAATAAATCGTTTTACTAGTATTTCAATCAATTTCATAAAATATTATCATGATCAATTTAATTATAATTATTAATTTTTTAAATTAATATTTTAATTAATTTAATGACCGATTCAATAATATTTGTTCAAAACCAAAATTCATGTAGCTTCCTCTCTTTTAACTTCATTTATTAATGACCCGTCCTTCAAAACTATCATTTAGTGCAGATGCAATGTTTATTTAGTCAGTGAGTTCTTTGTTGAGTTCTGTACAATTTTACTTTTCCAATATTTTCCATAATATATCAGAAGTTATATTTTTATTTATGTTATATCTTCTGCACATTTTAATGAACCTTAAATAAATGATAAAATTACATTAAGAAAATCACCATTAAATAAGATTGCGGCTCGAATTTTATAGATAAAAAAAGTGAGGTTGAGAGAACTATTGGTAATATTATCCTTTCAAAAATATAAAATATTTTTAATTTTCAATAAATAATTAATAAGCTTTTTAAAAATATCTTTAATAAATAAATCACTTAATATTTTTTCTTTGAATAAGAACCCTATTAAATAAGAGTAAAAATAAAAAGATAATACTATTTAAAGATATTTGACTAACTTATTTAGAGTGTGATTCAGATAAGTTAAAAATGATTTATATTTTTTAGGAGGATGAGTATATTAGAATCTAACTTGATATTATATTGATTATTAAATAATAATTGTATATATAAAAACTAATGAAAAGAGACGCACAGACACCTACACATAATTTTTTTTAGAAATTTTAAGTTATTTGGTCACCTAAAACAACAGCTACAGTGAAAAAAGTCAAGGTTGAATTAGAGAAATTGACTCTTAAATACCATTATAAAATAAAAATAACATTTAAACGTTTTGAACATTAAAATTTTTATTAATAAAGATTTTTGTTAGAAAAGATATCTATATTTAATTTTATTTTTTATTTTAAATAAGGGGAGAGGAGTGTCTCCATTTTTTTTATATTATATTTGGTGGGAGAGAAAAGTGAAGGGAAACTATATTTTCTCTCGCTTGGCTAGTGACAAAAACAATGAGAGGGAGGGGAGATTGAGGGAAAAATAATTTGTAGGATCTACATAATTTTTCATCTAACTTTTCTATTCAAATATTGAAAGAATTTGGAGAGAACTTTATTTCTAAATTTACCTATGAATGTTTTTATTTCCCACCTCCTGCTTCCCTCTATTGTCATCCTTATCTATTGTTGTAGTTTAAAATTTTTAGATTATTGTACATTTAATAATTTTATAAATAAAATTAAAAATTAGATAAAATAATTTGCAATAAATATAGTTTTATTCCATTATATTTTTTCAAAAAAACATTTTTAATTCTTTATTAATATATAATGAAAACTATATAAATAAAATGTTATAATTTTAAGATTTACTATATCGAAATATTTTTTGCAAATGATAAAGTTGTTATTGTCAATATAAAATTAACAAATTTTTTCTTCTTCTTATTTTCTTTTGATTGGCCAATGATATTAATATTAATTTTAGAAAGTAGTCTCCTTGATCTTAAAAAAAATAATTTTTCATATATTTTAAAGTAATTATCATCTCCACAAAGATGCTTAAGTGCATAAAATAAATATAAATATATTTTAAAAAATTGAATTTTTGTTACTAAACATGCGTATTGTTGGTAAGAAAAATATAAACATGTGTTTATTTTATCTTCAAATAATTTAAACTATTATAATTTATGTTTCTGGTAAAAAAAAACTTTTATGATTATTTGTTTTAAATGTTTCATACACTCATTTTTCCTTTAAGAAATTAAGGCAATCCGGGGCAAGAAAACTCTTCATTTGCGAAGCTAACTGTTCGAATTCTATACTTATTTCTTTTTTCATTTGAAAATTATAACATTACAAGAGTAAATTATAATTTTTCAAAATTTTATATAAAAAATAGGGTTAATATGTAATTTGGACCCTGAATTATAGGTCTAAGCATGATTTGAATCTTAAATTTATGTTTGTTATATTTTGAACCCTAAACAATTAAACTTTAAATAATTTTAAGCTACCATGAAATTAAAACAAATATCCATTACTTAAAAAGGGAGGCTTAATGTGCAATTTTTTTAAAGGATGGTAGGAGTGAATGAGAGTAAAATTTGAAAAAAATTACATATCATGCCCTTTTTAAAAGAAGTAATTGACGTTTGTTTTAATTTCAAAATTATAAAATTAATACAACTTTAATTGTTTAAAATTTAAAATGTACCAAATATTAGTTTAAAGTTTAAATTGTCCTAAGACTTATAGTTCAAGATTTAAATTATAAATTAATCCTAAAAAATATATTGGCAATTGAAAATTGAAAATTTACGTGTGTTACATCTGATTTTTTATTTGACTCCCACTCGCTTTTTATTTGTATTGCCTTTTCTCAAGATGCACTATCAACCTTCAGAAGAGATTTATTAGTCTCCCAATATTGTTGATTCCATAAGCACACTTTTTATTTTCCTCTCATTTTTCTATTTGAATTTTAAAATTGGATAAAATAAAAAAAATGATTAATCTTACATTTTTCGAATTATTAACCAACCACCTATTCCTTATTCCTTCTTTTCATATTCTTGCTTGATTACACTTCTATCTATTTTTAAAAATGTATTTAATAAGATTGTTAACTGATGGTGAAAAAATATGAATTGAACAATCAGTGATCATCATATATTGATTTTAATATATAATACCAATAAAAATAATTATATATATATATATATATATAACAACTAACAACAATGTGATACATATTATATAAATTATTTAAACTTCATTCTCCAGTTATACTCTAATTGATATACGGTTAGTGCAACACGTTATCACTTGGTCATACTCTAATTAATATATTTATATAAAAATAAAATTACATATCATTAGGATATGCAAATTCTATTATATAAACTTATGCCTATATAAAATTTCAATAAAATAAAAAAAAAACATGCTTCACATTTGTTAGGCACTTAGACAAGACATCATAGTTCTTAAATTGATGTTGATTTTTATGAAATGTCAGTTGACATTTTTTGTCAATTTGTCAAAACTAGTGTTGAAAGTGCAAGTAGGATGGCAATCAAGCACTACAGGGATAAATTATTATTTGTTATAGCATCATTTTTCAAATAAACATAAATGAGCAATTGAATATTGAATATAGAAAATTATATCATTTATTAATGTGTGTCAGTGTCCATATATAGTCAAATAATTGAGTTGAATCAACACTTGTCCAACGCAAGAGTTTGAGAGCAATGATGCCAAGTTGCACTTGATAGAAAATTTTGTCATTACATGTGGATTGGAACACCCTACTTTACTAAGCACACCATTAATACAATAATCAAGTATCAATGATAATGACAAATTTCGAGCCAAATTGCCTTTAGGAAAAAAAAAAAAAGGGACAGAATTAGGTCTAAAACTGGACATATTACCAAATAAATAACATTATAAAAAAATTATGACAACCAAATAAACAATTCAATCAGATAATCAATCTGAAAGTCAAACTCAAACAATATAAACTTCAAAGTCATTCCATCCGACTCATGGAAAAATTTGACCACATAGTAAAGTTTAGATTCAAGTATAAAACCAAGAACCACCAGTCCAAGTTTTACGACCCAACAATCCATAAAACATTCATAAAACAAGCATTATAAAATGGCAAAATCATCAAGTTATTACACTTGGCATGATCCTACAAATGACTCAAAATAGAGTTAGGTCTTAAACTGACATGATCAAGAATGGAGATTTACTTCTCCAACTCCTTTCCCTTGCTTAAGCCCACTTCTTCACCTAGAATTGTTGAAAGAAAGAGATGAGATAATAATCTCAATAACTAACACTTTCATAATATACTCAACCTTTTATCATTAGTCTTTCTGGTAATACCATATCATAATATATGAACAAATTTAAGTATGCATGCATAAAGGAATCATCTTTAGGTCCACACAATCACAAATCCCCTAAGTAATATTGATACTGGGTATGATAACAACCCATAACCACCATTCATAGCATGATCACGGCTATCATCCTCAAGAGATATGATCATGACCCACCAAGCACATTCACGGCTAATAAATCATTAAGACATGATCACGGTCTTAATTGGTGGAAGGATGAATGCTACAATATCACTACGCTTGGCTGAGTGTAGTTAGGCGAAGGACATTATATCATGTGATATGTATAAAGAATTCATTTACTCTCTCTCATTACATTTAACGTGCACTAATGTATGGATAGTGCCATTCCTTGCCAATCATCCTAAGCTATACTATTTATTATATATGTATTTATGTATATATGTATACATGTGTATATATATTCTCATCACATTGCATAAATAACAAATCCCCAGTTCTTCTCTAATTCAAAGTAATTCAAAGTATGCACATGTATGAAATCCTCTAGGTTACTGCAATACCTAGCCAAACAAGCCAAGCCCAAGGCCATGAGTGAGTCTGAATCCACAATATTATTCAATAACAACACAAACTCATAAGGCCCAATTAGCATTCAAAGTGTCAAAGAATAGTTAATACGCATCAAATATTTGTAAGAAACACAAGACAAGTTTAAGTATCAATAGAGTAAGAATTTTGAGTAAGCTTAAAGTACTCATAAACAATTTTAATTGCCATGAAACTTTATACACTACTCAATCATTAACCAAAGAAGAAAATAATAAAAAATTCTAAGCAAATAAGGTAT